CAAGCATTTTGTCAAGAATTTTGCATCTCTGTTCATTAAGGTTATGGGCCTATAATTTTCTTTTTTGATTGTGTCTTTACCCAGTTTGGGTATCAGAGTGATGCTGGCTTCAGAGAAGGAATTTGGAAGTACTTACTCTGATTCTATCTTTTTGAATAAATTAGGTAGTATTGGACATAGTTCCTCTTTAAATGTCTGGTAGAATGCTGCTGTAAATCTATCTGGTCCTGGGCTTTATTTAGTCAGGACGTTTTGTATTACTCTTTCAATTCCCTTATGCGTTATGGGTCTGTTTAAGCTGTTGATTTCTTCTTGGTTTAGTTTTGGTGATTCCCATAATTTTAGATACCTGTCCATTTCTTTTAGTTTTTCAAATTTAGTAGCATATAGGTTCTTAAAGTATTCCCTTATAATGTTCTGGATCTTTTTGGTGTCTGTTGTGATGTTTCCTCTTTCCTCAATAGATGCAGAGAAGGCCTCTGACAAACTTCAACATGGATTTGAGTTCAAAGTCTTAGAGGGAATTGGACTGGAGTGAACTTACCTCAACATAGTTAAAGCTATATACAAGAAATCCACAGCCAACTTCATTATCAATGGAGAAAAATATTGAAGCATTCCCATTGAAATCAGGAACCAGACAAGGCTGTCTACTATCTCCATTCTTCTTTAACATAGTGCTTGAAACTCTTGCCAGAGCAATAAGACAAGAGAAAGAAATTAAAGGAGTAACAACTGGAAAAGAAGAGATCAAATTATCCCTTTTTGCGGATGATATGATATTATATCTAAGAGATGCCAAAATTTCCACCAGAAAATTCCTAGAAATTATGAACATGTTCAGTAAAGTGGCGGGTTACAAAATTAATCTAAAAAAGTCTGTAGCCTTTCTATATACCAATAACAAGTGATCAGAGAAAGAGTACATGGAAACACTCCCTTTCACAGTATCTGCAAAAAAAAAATTTCAGAATAAACCTGACCAAAGACATTAAAGGCCTCTACAATGAAAATTTTAAATCTTTAAAGAAAGAGATTGAAGAAGACATCAGAAGATGGAAGGACCTCCCATTCTCATGGATTGGAAGAATTAATATTGTGAAAATAACAATCCTACCAAAAGCCATTTATAGATTCAATGAAATGTCAATCAAAATGCCATTGACATTTTTTACAGAGTTGAAAAAAAAAAATCCTAAGATTCATATGGACGTACAAAAGACCTCAGATAGCCAAAGCAACCCTGAGCACTAAGAGCAATGCTGGGGGCTATTACTATACCAGACTTTAAACTGCATTACAGAGCTATAGTCATCAAAATAACGTGGTACTGGCACAAAAATAGACCCATAGATCAATGGAACAAAATTGAAGACCCAAATATGAGTACATGCAATTTCAGCCACCTGATATTTGACAAAGGGGCCAAGAACATTCACTGGAGGAAAGACAGCATGTTCAGCAAATGGTGCTGCCAAAACTGGATCTCCACCTGTAGAAGAATGAAACTAAACTCCTGTCTTTCACCTTGCACAAAAGTCAACTCCAAATGGATCAAAGACCTCAATGTAAAGCCTGAAACTTTCAAACTAGATTCAGAGGATGGACAGCACTGGGGAATTGCTGGGGGTGCCAACAACACAGTGGACAGTAACAGGGTTGACAGTATATGGGTTCCAGTGGTGGGGGGGGCTATGGGAAGGTACCATTTGGGATGTGGGTAAATAAATGAATAAGATTTTTTGGAATGTTCTGTACAAAATAGACACAACAAAATCAACAAATAAAAATATTAGTTATATTTGAGGAAGAAGCATAAAAATTTGCTTCATGTTAGTCAGTAGAGGTGAAAAATATTACCATTGAAATCTACTTGATGACTTTATATCCATACTCAGACGCCAAGAATCCAAGTATAACCAACTGTGACTAGTAATAATCAGATACATAGAGATTAGAGACCCATGTGTAAACATCTAAGTGTTAGCAGCATTAAAAATGAGGTTTTTTGTATGAAACAGTATATTTTAAAATGAAATGGAGATCTTTTTTGAAAGTTAAAACTTCATTTAATTTTATGTCTTATAGGGTTTATACTGAGTTCAATATTGTATAACTGTATTAATTCAACTGTGAACCTAAAAATTTTCAGCCACTCTTGAAAGCGATGCATCTTTGCTCTGGAAATTGTTATTGAGTATGTTAATGCTGTAATGAAATGCTTCTTCTAATCATGTGATTATTAAATAAATAATAAAAAAGATGTAGAAAATCTACTGTTTTAAAACACATTAAGCAAATTAATATGCTTTGATTATGTGTGTGGATCTTACTATGTCAACCACAATCATGGGTTTGAACAAAGAATGTTAAAGTACCGTATTCCTAAATGTAACAAATCTTTTATTTACTGGCAAGCAACTAACCTTAATAATATAATGTATTGAAGGTAAAGACAACAAGATTCATGGAAATTTAAAATGAAAAATGTTGAAGAAACAAAAAAAAGCATTTGAAAAAGGATGAAAGGAAAAAGGGCACTTACTTCATTAAAAACCACTTTCTGTTTGAAAAATAAATAAATAAATAAATAAAATAAAAATAAAGAATTTTTTAAATGTAAAAAAATTAAAGAGAATTAAGCATTTCTTTTTCTGAAGCAAATACTCTGCTCTCAGTCTGGACTTTTCTACATGTTATGTGACTCCCTCTCTGTCCTCACTAGTGTTGATTTCGGTAGCATTGTAAATAGAATTTTCTGCCCTTGTCATTACTTACTCAATCCTCTGTTTTTATAGGACTCTAAATAAGACTGTGCAGCTTTGTAGTCATTGAATAAATGAACGTGGGGACAAGTTATGAAGACATCATAGCTTCATTTCTGTTCTTATTCCCAAATCTGTGTTACCTGTTCAATTGCTCCTCAAAAGTTGTCATTATGGAAATACCACTCAACCAGGATCCACATTTTTGCTCTGCAAGGTATGCAAAGACTTTTCATTCAAGTGGGGCACCTTACCAAATAAGTTGTAATCCTTCAATGACTGCTCACTGCTTTCTGAGTAACTCATATGCCATTTGGGAGGATGTGACACTGCTCACCTCACAGCCCGTGCTTTGATAGGCCGTCTCCTCTCTTGTGTTTTTTGTCCATGGAAACCCTGAACTCCTGTCCCTTTCTCAGTCTCAATGGACATCTTGGAGGCATTGTGCTGCAATTGTTGCCTTGGTGAAAGTTTCCATTTTAGGAAGCTGATCTGGTTAAAAGGCATTCACACCTCCTTTCGGATAGGTGTTGTCTTTTTAGTACACATTTAACACTGTAGTATTTGTTTGCTAATATTGGAACTATTTAACTCTGTAGAGAAAACCCCAGTAAATCCTCATCTTGTTAAACTTCTCATCCCTCATTATGCCTAATCTCCTGTATTATTTTTAATACTCTTAAAATAAATGTTATTTGTAATATTCAAAAGTCTTGTACATTAAAACATGGATTTTACTTAATTTTATATTTAAATAAGTTTCCATTATGATTTCTCCAATTATCTCTAATAAATATTGTTATTGTTTTTCAGTTTTTATTCTGGGAATTTAATTCAAAGTGCTTAAACATGCTAACCACTAATTTTATTCTTAGATACATCACCAACCCTACTAGATTGGTTGTTAAAAGTTAGGTAAATGCAGGGTTTACATATGGAAATTTTTTAAAGTGTTCTATTTATTATTTTTATTTTATGCATGTGAGTGTGATGCCTGCATGAAGGTAGGAACACCCATGTCCTGCAGTGCCCACGGATGTCAGAAGAGGGCATCCGATCCCCTGGAACTGGTACTACAGATGGTTATTAGCCTACAGGTGGGTGCTGGGAATTGAACCCAGATCCTCTGCAAGAGCAGTCAGTGCACTTACCACTGAACCATTTCTTCAGCCCCCACATATGGAAAAAATTTTAAGAACTACAGACAGAGCATTTATCAGACAAGAGGTACACACCTGTAGTACCAGAACTCCAGTTAGGACAGATGGGGGATGATCGCATGTCCTCACAAACCAGGGAAGCCTAGCAAGACCCTATAATAAAAGAAATTTTGACTTGGAAATATAATCTCAGACAAGCATGTGATCATTTTCTTCTAATTTCTTAGAGCAGAATCATATATTTTATAAACAAACAATTCAAAAACATGGCAACTTTATGAATTTTTTCACTATGCATCATTGAAGTCTCTGGAATTCGGGTGTTTGATATTAGAATTCCACTGAATACACCTGGCATTTTATTTAAATGATCATTTTACAAGCTCATAGGTGCAACCATAGCATAAATCCACACATATATAGGAATCGTTGGTTTATGATCATGAATGTGTCCTGTATTCAGCATCTGTTACAGTTTCTGTCTCATCCCTGCAGTTTCCTTCCTCAGTGTGATGGCTCAGCATTTCCTCCTCCTTTTTTTCTATAAGAACCTACAAAAATGGACTGATTATCTTTTCATAACTCTTAGCACAGACTCCTCTTTGCTCCTGGAAACATGATAGTGGGTGAAATCCATGTTGACCATTTTATCACATATGACCTATGATCAAAGTTTGGAATCTTCATGGAAATATGCAGTGCACTGCACTGTGTGGAGCACTTACATTGTTGAGTATGGGGAAAAGGACAGAAGACAAAGGCAGACATGGCACTATGAATTGGCATGTGAAGAGAACTGTAACCTCTACATGATACTCCAGGATAGTGAGAAGGGAAATAACCACAAGAGTTCATCCATATAAACTCAGAAGTTTCAAAAATTCCTAAGAAAATATTGGAATAAAAGAAAATATTTGATGCAAATTAAATTTATCTAATACTTGAGAAAAAATCAGGCAAGTTCAGGAAGCTCTTTAGAACTGTGAGACAGGACAACAGGGAAGGAACTGGGCCCCCGGCAGATCAACCAGGTTTCTGTCTCACTTCTCCTCTGCCTGTGCCACTGTGGGTTACATATAGCTGCTCCCACTGCTGTGGCCTGCCCCACAGAAATAGATGCCCTCATCATCATCTTGGACATTTTGGATGTTCAGGTACCGATCCAGCCCAGAGCCTGAGCCTGAGTATCGATCAGGGATCCCGTCTCCCTTGGATCCTATAATGCCATTAGGGCCCACTAGGAACACAAACCGGGGGCTTTTCCCAGGGCTCTGCTGGTACCAGCCCACAGCATAATTACTGTAGCCACTGCTCAGGGTGCAGGTAAGTTGGACTGATTTTCCCAGAGAGGAAGATGCCGATGGTGGCTGAGTCAACACAGGCTGAGAGAGGGAACCTGGAAAAAGAGATATCCATTAAGGATCTGGTAGAGAGGCAGGTGAATAATTGTTGGAGGAAAGATAGACATGCGGAGTGTTGAGTCTGGATAATGGTCTATCTGAGGTCCTGACCACTGCCCACCTGAGAAAAGAGTGAGAACGATGAGGAGACAACTCCAGGCCATGGTGGAGGTGATCAGTGCTGTCTTTCAGACCCTGGATCCCAAGCCTCTTATGCCCTCAGCCTGCCTCTGGGCTGGACTTAACCTCCCATGCAAATCTGCCCACTTCAAACTCTAGTATTTCATAAAGTGGAGGATTCAAAAGAAAACACAGTCATTTTGTTTTCATACTTTGCCTCCCCCTTCTGGCCAGACAACTTTGAGCTTCAGGACTCAAAAGATTCCATTGGCATTAAACTCGCAGCTTGGTGATCAACCTAGGCAAGTTTCTGAAAACACTCAGCAAAACCTCACAATTGGTTTACCTCTGGAATCCCTTGGTGGGATTCTGGAGCTGTCAGTAACACCTGTCCTAGGTGTTTCAACTAAGGCTGGCAATATCCAATTATCCTTCACCCAGTCCCACAGATATTTTTACCCTCAAAAGAGATGTACTGCTCAAAATCACCATGTTGTACTGAGTGTTTCCATGGGGCCTATGCTGCTTTCCAGAGAGATGTGTATCAGCTCAGCAATGCAGAATACAACCAAAATTTACCAGAGAGAGTGAGGCTGATTCACAGCTGTTCTGCTAGGAGCTGGAAATGTGAAGAAAATTAGTGAGAACGTCAGAAAAGTTAAGACACAGCTTGCTTTCACTTCTTTTTAGTTCTTTTATCAATATTAGAGTTTTGTTTCATTGGTCCTTTATAACCCATTCTGTGATCAACTTTATTGTATTTAAGAAAGGAACAATTAGCTGTTAAACAATATACTTCTTTTGGTCCTGACATTTCACTTCTCTTCAGATTCCTATGTGGTAAAGCCATATTGTGTAAATACATGCTATAAATAGAAATTAATAAATAACAAAATCACGTTGAGGTACATGGTATAATACTTTGTAGAGCACATCTTTTCCTCCCACTTATTGTGAGTCTTTAAGCATGTGTGCTCTTTCAACTAGCCCTATTCATTTGAAGTGTGCTGACTTCAGAGGCAGTGTTGTGCAGGATCCTAGCAGAAGCCCTTACTTTCCACTCAGAGTAGGAGGCCAGTGCATGTGGAGTAAGAGCTCCCTGAGTGGTGGATGTTAGGCCCTGCTCTGTGCAATGGGTGCTGCCAATGCCTCACCAACTTGCTGCTCTACTTCCAGCTCTACTTAGAGCACTGTGTGCACATTACCTGCAGGATGGTTCCGCAATGGGATGCCAGGAGAGGCATGCAGCCACCCTGGCTGAAGCATGCACTGCCATTCTGTGTGGTGACTGTGTGCTATGGGACCAGAGGGTGGCAAGGCCCATCACCTTCTTGGCCTTCTGTGCTAGCATGGGCATTCTCTAGGGAAACATGTCATATTCTGGTATGTTTAAGAGTGATTGGATGTTCTGCCTTTAGTACAGCAATCCAATTTTTCTGCTCCTCTTAATGGAGGACAGCTCCCATGGTGCAGTGGTTTCCTCTTTCCTTCCTGTTTCCACTTTCTACAGCAGAGTGATGGCGCAGTATCATCAGCGTTCATCTTCCCTCCTAACCCTGAGGCTGGCACAGCTGAAAGGCCCTCAGAGAGACCAGCAAGAGAGAGGGGAAGGCTCCTTTCCATCAATAAGTTTGCATTCTGCACTGCACTGGGTTACAGCAGAGGAAAGATTGGCTTACCAGTCAAAGGCTATATTGTGAAGAATTATTACTCTTTGAATTCACTTGTTTCTTATTCATAAAAGATACATATTTAATATAAACTTTTCTCATCAACATTTTAAGGATAAATTTGAAAGCATTCATGAAACACTCCCATAATTTTCATAAAATCATTTAACACAGTGACTTAATGAATCAAATAATTGTCTGCTTTTAGGGAAACTGAACACAAAGAAATTGCTATTGCTTTCCATTTTGATGTTGAGATCTATTTTGTTGTTCATACCTGGAGAGATGGAAAAGATGTTACAGGCTCATGCTTACAACTTCTTCATTTCTTCTTTCAAGATTCTTTTTATGTATATGAGTATAATCTATGTTTGTGTACACATGTGTACAAGTGCCCCTGGAGGTCAGAAGAGGGCATTAGATAACTTGGATCTCAAGTACACTTGCAACTTTCAACTATCCTATTGCAAATAACTTGAGGTTACAAGTGTAGTGTGAGTCACTCATCATGAGCACATGCTCTATAAGAGCAGAAGGCCATAACCACTGAGGCATTTCTCCAGCCCAAGGTTCTTTTCGTCTCTGTTAGTCATAATGAAAGCGTTTAAACTCTAACCTCTACTTGCTAAGATTTGGAAAACATAATTCAACCACACCAGTCAGTTATTGCTATAACTGTTCTTCTTGAACAATATCATTTAGAATATCAAACAGTGTGTGGAAATAACGGATTTGTGAGTAAATATTTTCACCTATTTTTACATTTAAGCTAAATGTATCTAATTTGTAGTTACACATCTTTATTATGTATCACTGTATGTTTGTATGGATTAAAATGTGCCACTTTGATTCACAATATGCCATTACTATCAGAATAATCCATTTCCAAACTAGTCTTCATCTTAATCTGAAACAAACATTTATAAGCAAATTTTCTCTACTCTCCCACAGACTTGGCAACTGATGGAGGATGGAGGAATTGGTAAACTGGGTTTGGTAGAAAACCCAAGGTCTAGGGAGCCCATCATAATACAGGAAAGGAGACAATAGTACAGGGAAATCTCCTCCTTGTCAGATTCTGCTTGATCCTATGTGGATTTTCTTTGGACACATCTTTTTTACATTCCACCCACCAAGTAGATCCAAAGTCCTATAACACACATAGTCAAATGAATCAAGCCATTTTCTTGTGTCTCAGCATTAATTTCAGTATTAGTTGCTTTCTGTAATGCAACAAAATCCCTGACAAAGCAAGTTATGGCAGGAAGGCATGGTGTCCATGGAGACCAACAGGTCACATTGCATTGGAAGAGAGGCTGAGAAGAGAGAACAGGAAGTGAGACCAGGTTGTAAACCTACAATCCACCCAGCTGACCCACTTCCTTCTTCTTTTAAAGGGTACACAAAGTTCACAAACAGAACCATCAGCTTTGACCAAGTATTCAACACATGAGGCTGCAGAGGACACTTTACATTCACATTGCAACTCTTTGTCACAGCCATAGGGCACTGTTGGAAGTCTTTGGAACTAGGGTTGTATTCACTTTTCTTATGTTCCCTTGCAGGAGATGGCCTGGTGCCTTCAGAAGATCAGAAGGAAAATGCAGCTACTTTAAGCAAAACAAAGTAACTTCTGTTCCTTGACAGTTCCCAGCACTTCTCCATACATTGGTTTGTTTAAAAACCTCAAAGGCTAAAAAGTAGATAGTATAAATCAGTGAATTAGGGTTATTCTTTTAAAAGAAGCATTCCTTGGAAACGAATGGCTGCCATCAGCTCATATCCATGAGAAACCTATTTACTTGCTATTCTGAAAACTCAACACTCTTTTTAGTAATGTCCTTACCTTCGCCATCTGAGATGCCACAAAGAAATTTGATGGACTCAACATAATTCCCCTCATGATTCATCTTTATCTACTTTACTTTACAAACTGAACATGCAAGTAAGTACTTGTGGGTGAAAAAATTCAGTTCTATGTCTTCAGTCTTTAAACTGGACATCTTTTCAAACATTAGTAATTCACCCAAGGGACCAAAAGAGAGCCTCTGACAACCTTGGGCACCAGAATCTTAGGAGGGAAGAGAAACTCTCTGCTCTGAGCTCTAGAAGAGAGGGCTGAGCACTGTCGAGAGTGTCTCCTATTAAAACTGTCCCAAGTTCTGACCAACATGGGACCTATAAAATGTTAATTTTCCTTCTCAGAGTATAGCCAAGTCCAGAGAGTACCATTTTAAGCCAATTAGATGAGAAGGCAATATCTGTTGATGGTATGGATTTTTGGTATTTTTCCTGGTTTATCCCATTATTAATTTTAATTTTTCTTCAAATACACAAGACTCCAAGGCAGAGTAAAAATTAGTTATAGGGGAGATGAGCCAAGTTTAATCCTGATTGCTGAAGTTCAGCACAGTTTCCCAATGATGATCTATCCTCTCTGCAACCACTGGGAAAAAAGAAAGGGCTGTTAATGAAATTCCGTCTCTGTTTTACGTCTTTGTCAACCACACTTCATTGGTGATTCAAGAGCCTGAGACTGGAGATGATCGCTTAGATCCTAACTGAAGAGCCTGTCACAAATACTGAGATGTATTTACACATATATGTATCCACTTACTCATCTATCACTCCATTCATCCTTCTATCTATCCATTCTCTCATACTCTTTCTCTGCCATATCTCCTATTCCAGTAAGGACATTGATTAGTTCAGTTTTTCAGCCATAAGGTTAATGTTAAATGGATTGTTTTTAGAATGCTGTACATTGTAAAATACAGAACTAACATATCAATATTGAACATCAACAAATAATATGCATTTCATAAATGTTATGATAGCTTCATAATATGGTCTGTACCTCTAACTTTTTCTCTTTTGGTAAAATATTCCAGTAAGGACATTGATTAGTTCAGTTTTTCAGCCATAAGGTTAATGTTAAATGGATTGTTTTTAGAATGCTGTACATTGTAAAATACAGAACTAACATATCAATATTGAACATCAACAAATAATATGCATTTCATAAATGTTATGATAGCTTCATAATATGGTCTGTACCTCTAACTTTTTCTCTTTTGGTAAAATATTCTTCTCACATAATATAATAATATAACAGTTTTCTTTGAATAATCCATAGTCATTTATAGATGTTGCTATAATTCATAATTTTCTCTCCTTTTCCAGGCAGACCTAAATCTGATTTCTTCCAAGCATTGTATGAATTCTTATCTCGTTGTGGTACTATTTATTTTTCTGAAGCTATTTTATTATTATATGTTGTGAGAGTCTATTGTTGAACAACTGTATGATCCTTGAGTAAAGAAATATATCAATCAAGTACCTTAGGGTCAAAGGGGGGATAATATGCCTTTGGGGCCATGACTAGAATGTCACAATAGCTGTCATTTGACGTGA